GTGAGTCACTGAGCCTGGCCTACATTTACTTTTGTAAGTTGGTTATTATATTGGAGAAAGTTATTTAAGGTGTAAATTGTAAATTCCTCCTGAAAGTGATGTCTTCATGCAGTTTCCATGAACTAATATTGTAATAAAGGAAAGCCTTTGGTTTAAAAAAAAGTCTAAGAGCTAGGGCTTTAGGCAAGGATCAAATCAAGCAAATCTGTGTCATATTTTCTTTTAAAAAAATATTTATTTATTTATTTATTTTTGAGTTGGTGTCTCACTCTGTCACCCAGGCTGGAGTGCAGTGGCATGCTCACACCTACTGCAACCTCAATCTGCTGGGCTCAAGTGATCCTTCTGACTCAGCCTTCCAAGTAGCTGGAACCACAGATGTACACACCAAGCCTGGCATCATCTTTAAAATCCTGGGTGCTGTGGCTCACACCTGTAACCCAGCACTCTTGGAGGCCAAGGTGGAAGGACAGCTTCAGGCTCGGAGTTCGAGACCTGCCTGGGCAACAAAGTGAGACCCCATCTCTGCAAAAAAATTAAAAATAAATAAATAAATTAGTTGGGCATAGTGGAACATGCCTGTAGTCCTAGCTACTCAGGAGGCTGAGGAGGATCACTTGAGCTCAGGAGTTATGAGGCTGCAGTGAGCTATGATTGTGCCACCACACTCCACCTGGGTGGCAGGGCAAAGGCCCTGTCTCAGAAAATACGACCTCTAAATGTATTGAGATGTCACCCAGTATGTCATTTCAATGGGATGAAATGACTCCGTAAACAAAGGTGTTGCTTTCTCACCCAAGCCTGATGAGCTCAAAGTGCCTGGAATGAAGCAGATAATTGGAGACGTGTCAGGGAAAAAGACCTGTGGGTACCACTGTTGGCCAACGAAGCTGATTGGAATCAAATAGATAAGACTCTCACGTGGATGAGATAGTTGCACTGCCAAGGGAACCCAGAGCCTGGACAAGGCTCAACTCATCTGCTTGGCCTCCAACCCTCTGTGGACAGGAAGCGAGTTCGGAACACCGTCTAGGCTCCCAAGAGCACATATCCCTCAGCAGTCACAGCTAAGGAAGGTCATAAAGGAGGGCCTTCTCCCAAGAAGGCCAAAGCAAGGGACAGAGAACAGAGAAAGGCAGCCCCTCCTCTGGGACAGAAGTAGCATCTAATTCAGGGGTGAGCCCTACTCTCCTGGCAATAGGACCTTGCAGTATCTTGCCATAACTAGCTCTGTTCAGTCACTTCACCTCCATTAAAAAAAATAACTTCCTACCTCCCTCCCTCTAAGATATATATATAATTTTCTGAGTTGGAGTCTCACTGTGTCACCCAGGCTGGAGTGCAGTGGCACAATCATGGCCCACCGTAGCCTTGACCTCCTGGGTTCAGGCAATCCTTCCACCTTAGCCTCCTGAGTAGCTGGGACTACAGGCATGCACCACTAAGCCTGGCTAATTTTTTGATTTTTTTTTTTGTAGAGATGAGGTCTTGTTATATTGCCCAGGCTGGTCTTGAACTTCTTGGAATCAAACGATCCTTCTACTTTGGCCTCCCAAAGTGCTGGGATGACAGGCATGAGCCACTATGCCTGGGTCATTGTGGTTTTGACTTGTATTTCTCTCATGACTAATGATGTCGAGCATCTTTTCATATATTTATCGGTCACCTCTATATCTTCTTTGGAGAAATATCTATTCTAATCCTTTGCCCATTCTTAAAGTGGGTTGTTTGGTTTTTCTGTTGTTGACTTGTAAGGGATTTTTATATATTCTGGAGAGTAAATCCTTAGTGGAAAATCTAAGGTCATAAGGATTACTGTTGTGTTTTAAGGTAGACTAATTCTTTTCTTTTTTTCTTTCTTTCTTTTTCCTTTCTCTTTCCTTTCCTTCTCTCATTTTTCTTTTCTCTTTCTTTTTTTTTTCTTTCTTCTTTCTGGTTTTTTACTAGTGTGTTGTTAAGCTAGACTAATTTTTATAGTATTCCACTGAGAAAGTTGTTCAGCAAACTGCTTGGTATCAATAGCTGAACAAGATTCATATTGACAATCAAACAGATTCAGTTACTAACACAGGCCTGAAGACTAATAGGAAAGTGCCCAAATACTTGTGGAATAAACTAACAATTCAGAGAATAAGTATATGAATGGGGTTTTGAAATGTTATTTTTCTCTCTCTTTTTTTTCTTTTTTTTAAAAGTGATAATGTCCCTGTTGCCTGGACTGGAGTGCAGTGGCAGGATCACAATCCACTGCTGCCCTGACCTCCTGGGCTCAAGTGATTCTCCTACTCAATCTCCTGAGTAGCTAGAGTGACAGGTGTGCAACACTATACCCACCCCTGCTTTTTTTCTTGAGAGATGGGGGATCGTTTGTTGTTCAGGCTGATCTTGAACTCTCAGCTTCAAGTGATCCTCCCACTTTGGCCTTCCAAAGTGCTGGAATTACAGGTGTGAGCCACCATGCCTGGCCCTCTTTCTTGCTTTTTTAATGATAGCAAACAGGGAGAAATAAAGTCAATGCAAGTTGGTTTTAGACAAAGTTGTACATTTCAAGCAAGGCCAGACTAAAAAGCAGATAAATGTATTATCTAGTATACCCAATTTTAACCACTTCGAGGCATATAACAGATGAACTCTACAACAAACACACAGAATGCAGAAAACAGAACCTCCAGTAATTAAAAACAGGATGAGAAAATGTGTATTTCAGCACCCAAATTAAAATGGCAGTTTTATACTACTCAGACACCTATGTGCTTTCTTCACAGCAACTTAATAGTCTCCCACCAGGCATCATTGTGAGATAACGCGGTTAGACATATTTATATTCCAGAACAACTTTTTACAAAGTCAGGGGTAAGTTCAGGTATTCTTGACTGAAGAACAGGATCACTATTTTGCTCCCTGCTGCTGTGTACTACAAGTTCAATTCTACGGTATAATGCAATAACAAAGGGAGATGACAGAAGCGAAGTGTATTAAATTATTGAATGAGACTGATTAAATTTTGAAGAGATAGAAGGGATCACAAAGGTGAACACTGATTTGATAAAGTAAAAAAGATTTTTGTAAGTTATGAAAAAAACAAAAAACCCTCTAACCAAAAAAACAAGGGAAGTATATTAGGAAACAAACAAACTACAGTTAGAATGAGTATTAGAACTATTTTATTTTTTTGAGTTGGAGTCTCACTCTGTCATCCAGGCTGGAGTGCAGTACCATGCTCATGGCCACTGCAGCCTCAACCTGCTGGCCCCAGAAGATCCTTCTGCTTCAGCCTCCCAAGTAGTTGGAACCACAGGTGTGTGCCACCACACCCAGCTAATTTTTTTGATTTACTGTAGAGACAAGGTCTCGCTCTGTTGCCCAGGCTGGTCTCAAACCCCTGGGCTCAGGCAATCCTCTCACCTTGGCCTCTCAAAGTGCTGGAATTACAGGCTTGAAAATGGCCAAAGTTGATCCCTTTGGTCTTTGCCGTCATTACTTATTTTTTACAGCAGATGTATAGGTGTCTTTATCTTCAGATAAATTATATTAAACTAAAAAGTCAAACCCGCAGCTACTGAATGGTTTTAAGTAAATCTGTCAAACTTGCCAAACTTACTTCCATACACCCTCAATATGCCAATATAATAAGCTCAAGGAATTTGCTTAGTTGAGGGTTTTTTCTTCCATTTGTATAACTCTTAGGTGACCGAGGAAGGATCACCAGAGCCTAGCAGGTTGATGCTGGGGTGTCGTGAATGTGTCATTGCACTCCAGACTGGGTGAGGGAGTGAGTGAGGTTCCAACTCAAAAAAAAAAAAAAAAAAAAGGGGAAAACACCTTTTTCTTTTTTTTATAATTACTGGATACATCTTATTAAATGACTGACACCTTTGTTTAAGGTAAAGGACATTGTTAGGGACACATTGAGATGGTCTGACACTCAGCAGAAGGAAATCAAAACTAGTTTTCATTTGACTTAGTGAACCTTTTTAATTTCAATAGCTTTAGGGGGATGCACAGTTTTTGGTGACATGGTTGCATTGCACAGGGATGAAGAAGCTTGGGCTTTAAGTGCACCTTCCCCCCCCATCCCCTATGGTCCTGGATGGGTGATTCTTCGTCCCTCCTTCCCTCGCCCCCTCCTACTCTGAGTCTCCAGTGTCCATCACACTATTCTGTGCCTTTGCAGATTCTTAGTCCAGCTCTCATTTATAAGTGAGAACATGCGGTGTTTGGTTTTCTGTTCCTGAGTTCGTTCACTAAGGATGACGTTTTCCAATTCTATCCAAGTTGCTGCAAAAAACATTGTTTTATCCTTTTGACGACTGAGTAGTGCATATACTCATATGCCACATTTTCACTGTCCACTGATTGATGAGCATTTAGGTTCCACATCTTTGTGACTGTGAACTGTGCTGCAATGAACGTGTGGGTGCAGGTGTCTTTTTTGCAGAACAACTTCTGTTCCTTTGAGTAGATACCAAGTAGTGGGACTGCTGGATCGGATGGTAGATCTACTTTTAGCTACTCGAGAAATCTCCCTACTGATTTCCATAGAGGTTGTACTAAGCTACACTTCCACCAATCGTGTATATGTGTTCCCTTTTCAGAACAGACTATTTTGGCTTGAGGAGTGTGTCTATTCTGTCTATTCAGGCTTGTAGTATTTGCCTTTAGTGAGTTGATGAAAGATAAATCAAAAATTCCTGGTAGAGTAAAAGGCTTCAAGGAATCCCAGAAAAGTATAGTTTCTTTTACAAAATCTAAAAATTTTAATCTCTCCAGGGGACCCACTGCCATCAGAAAAGAAGTACACAGTTTCTAACTGACTGATTCATACAAGGGAAGCTTATTTTGCTCCAAGTTTCACCATGGCAAACACAACCAAAGCAGTCAAAACTTCTGCTCTTTCTGACTCCACACATTGTAAGTACTTGAAATAAGCCAGAGCTGACTCAATGGCAGTGGTCAGCTAGACAAATTAACTGGTAAGCGACAGAATGAAAGCAAAATAGATCCTTTAGAAAAGATTTTTATTTTCTTGGCACGCAGACATAGCAGAGACACTTGGCTACTAGATAAAGCAGTTTAAGACATACCAGAAGTGAATTGCAATACACTTATGTTACAATACCCATAAACATGACAGGTCTCATGTTGCCCCAGTTTCCTTTGAAAGTTTATTAAAATACCACAGCATACTAGTTGAACTGGCAAATTTACTTCTCATGTTAAAGAGACTGATTTGGATTAGTGAGAAACTGAGGCACAGACCGTCGTCAAATGTTATCTAATAACATCTTATCCAGCATCACTCAAGAATGAAGCATTCTACCTAAATGTTCTCTAGTCAAATGACACTCATCCTTCTAAAGTCTAAAACCGTTATTTTAACTACTGTGGATGGAATAATGTGTAACATGCCTTCTTAAACTTTAAAACAGACCATGCAGAGTATAACATGTTCTCCCACTAATAGTCCTCATTAGGAATAAAAACCACTTAACTTTCTAGTGCAACACAATATCCCAAACATGTACGAAGGTGGGTGTTTGCCCTACCACAGATAACCCAATTTTAAAAATTGCCAACTCGTTATTTATTTTTCTGGTCATATTTAACTGTCAGCTGTTGTTTCCTGTTTTGATTAACTATGCTGGCTATCTATTACCTTTCTTACCTCCTTTAATATCAAAGATAGGGTGGTGCAACAAGACCACACTAGCCTTGGCTGGCCGATGGCTCTCTGCAGGAAGATCGTTTCTTTTACCTGTACAGTTCTGGTAAGCCTGACAAGGAAGGAACCGAAGAAGAATGGGAGACCTAGAAACCGATGTGTTCACATAGTGGCCAGATTACTGTCATCACTGTCTTTAAGTTTGTACATTTAATTTGCTTTAGGTTGGAAAACCAGAAAACTAAGCTAGTCAAAACTATTTCTAAAGTGGAGTCAGCTTTGAAGAATGGTGGGCTACAATCTTACAGAAAATTGCATGAGCTTTCAAGTGTGAGCATTTGACGTCTGGAGCATTTATAAATTTTTGTTGCCCAGAAGTTTTAGTGCTTACTTCATTTTCTTCTTTGTTTTTATTTCTTAGTTAGGGTTCATGGGTATGTGACCTCTAACTAAGAAAAATGCTAATGTACCATAATTTTATTAGCTGTTAAGTACACCATTAATATTAAATAGTAATGAGAGTGTTTTGCAACTACCTTCTTCCAACTGAAAGCATAATGATCTAATTTAAGTGGTTTTTTTTTGAGACAAACACAGTAAAAAAAAATTCCATGTAGGAAATAAGTACTATTCAAAAATGTTAACTCATAGAAATGTTAAAAATCTTTTTCTTTTTATGACTTTTTTTGATTTAAGGTATCTTAGAATAACTTAACATGAAAAACTTGTCAAATGCTTTTATTAAATTCAAGATAACTATTGAATTTGTATCTATATTTCTCAATATTAAACTTGCCAGAGTAGGTTTTGGCTTATAGAAAACCAGTAACAACTATGATCTAATGATAGATTTTTGCACACAAACTGAAGATAGTTAAGCTTTAGAAAATTAATGACATTCTTTTTTCTTGAAAGTTCTCAGAAATATGCCCAACAATTTCTATTTTGAAATGTAAACCATCTTATAATGGAAAATGAAACTCAATACTCAGTTTACAAAACTGTGTTTTGGGAAAGAAACTTCCTAATGCTTTGCATTTTTCCCCATACAAGTAAATTATGCAAAATATACTGTTGACATTCATTATATTAAAAAACATATTAATATATCAGTGAAAAAAATAACAGCACATGTGGAACATCTGTGATTCATATATGAGCATACATTGTAAGTGGAAACTCCCTCATTCAGCATTCATTAAATACCCACTGAATGCAGTGAGGATGTATTAGGATACTACAGTAAACGGTGAGAATACAAATGAACCCAGCCTATTCACTGTATATTGATACTGAAGACAAGATATTCCACAATTTAAAGATCTCTTTCCATTTCTTTCATTATTACATTTTCATATTTTATTTTCACTTATGTGCAAAGAGAAGATGACATGAGTTTTCTTTTCAAACTCTGGATTTCTAGGCATTTAAGGAATACTTACTGAACTAAAAAGAAAAACATCTCACTGGTAATGATGTTTCTAATTCAAATCTAAAATTACCTACGTACATTATAGAAAAAAATCAATGCTTTTACAAGCTTACTTAATTGGGCATCAATAATGTAATAAATGAGATTTTTAAATGCGCATATATGGTCTTTGCATTATAAATGACCTTGTATCCCATAGTACAGGTGATTGCATACTTAATAAATACCCACGGATCAATTATAAATCATAAAGTGTCTCAAGAAGAGCAGCAATTGACCAGGCTTGAGTTTCACAGCTGAAAGGACAGTACTGGCCATTCTCATTGGTCAGTTCTGGAAGCCCTTTCCAAGGGGATCTGAAAGAAAGAAAAGACATTTTATGAGACACTCTACCACATACTGACAGCACAGGCAAGACCTGGTGATTTTGCCTTCCAGTATAGAAAACGATTATATACAATCATTTGCCACAAAATAAAATAACATCCTAATGACATGAATAAAAAATTTAGGGCTGAGCGTGGTGGCTTACACCTGTAATCCCAGCACTTTGGGAGACAGAGGTGAGAGGATTGCCTGAGTCCAGGGATTTGAGACGAGCCTGGGCAACTTGGCAAGACCTTGTCTCTACAATAAATCAAAAAACTAGCTGGGCATGGTGGCACACGCCTGTAGTTCCAGCTACTTGGAAGGCTGAGGCAGAAGGGTCACCTGAGCCCAGCAGGTCCAGGCTGCGGTGGCCATGAGTGTACCGCTGTACTTCAGCCTGGGTGACAGAGTGAGACTACAACTCAAAAAAAAAAAATTTAAACTGAAATTATTCTCTGAGAGTTTCTCTTTGGAATTTAAGACTTTCAAATATAAAATAATTCTTCAAGTATTAAAAACAGAAAAAAAGATAGATGAAACTGCCATTATAAGCAATATAGACATATAGAGACAAAAACTCTCTCAGGCATAACTTTATTCCTTTTGGAGTAAGTTTATGAGTCTCAAATTGTAACTGTAAATATATTATGAGTTTTTTTTCAGAGATGGGGACTCTCTGTCATCCAGGCTAGAGTGCAGTGGCACGATCACATCTCCTTGTAATCTTGAACTCCTAAACTCAAGCAATTCTCCTGTCTCAGTATCCCAAAGTGCTTGGATTATAGGTATGAGCCACAGTGCTGGACATATGTGTGATCCTGATAAGACTGTAAAACTAAATTAAGTAATATAGAAACAGTAATAAACATGATTAGGGAAAAAAAATGCCATTCCAGAGTACTTGCTACTTAAATAAGAAATTTCCCATTCTATTGAATAAAAATAACTTGTTATTTATAATACATTTACTATAGTCTAGTACAAGGACTTTACATATATTATCTCATTTAATGTTTGAAGCGATGATAGGTGTGGTGGCTCAAGCCTGTATCCCATCACTTTTGGGAGGGCAAGGCAGGAAGATTGCTTGAGCTCAGGAGTACGAGACCAGCCTGGACAACACAGTGAGATCCCGTCTCTCTAAAAAGTAAAAAAAATTAGCCAAGCATGGTGGCACATGCCTGTAGTCCCAGCTACTTAAGAGGCACTCCAGCCTGGACAACAGTGAGACCCCTAACTGAAAAAAGAAAAAAGCTCACAGCAGCCCTCAGGTAGGCACCATAATATTCCCTACCTATAGAGAGGTAAGAGAGGTTGAGAGAGGTTGACTAAGTTGCCCAGTTCTCCCTGTCAGAATGTAGCACTGTTAGCATATCAAATTTATTCTTAACTTCAGTATAATCCCTTAAATATGAAACATAATGTATTAAAAAAAGATACCAACACAGAACTCTGTAATGCTTAATGTAATTAAGAATAAATTTTCAGGTATTTCATTATAAAAATAGAAAAAAAAACTCCATTAAGTAAATGTAGGACATTTTGGTTAATAACTAGTATCAGTTGTATCCTATTAAAAAACTATCAGAGAAATGGAAAACATAGAAATAAATGTATTTGTCTCCAATAATTCAAGGTACCACAGAGTAAAATGCCAATTACTTACATTAACACACCTGTGTACCTGTAAAGGGCTTAACTATATCTTCCCCCACAAATTTACATGTTCGGGTCGTAACACCCAGTACCTGAGAATGTGATCCTATTTGGATGTAGGTTCATTGCAGATGTAGATAAGATAAGGTCACCCTGATATAGAGTGGGTCTCAATCCAGCATGACTGGCGTCCTTAGAAACGGGGGAAATTTGGACAGAGACAGAAGGAATGCCACCTGACGCTGGCGTTTGCGGCCACAAGCCACAGAACCAGTAGCCAGGAGAAGCTGGAGAGACCTTTATGGAGACTTCAGATGTGCAAGGCTCTGCCAGTGTCCTGGTGTCAGACTTCTGGCCTCCAGAACCAAGACAGGATTCTGCAGTTGTTTAAGTCACTCAATTTGTGGAGCTCTGTTATGGCAGCCCAAGAAGCCACCCAAATTAAAGAATAAGACAAGGTCACAAAGCCACTACTATGCTGCTCTTAGTTAGATGTGGACACTAGTATGCAGAGCAGAATGACCATGATATGAGGAAGCTCATCTGCTTCCCTGGAAAACTCATCCTGGTCACTAAGTGGAAGGAGCAAGGCAGGGGCCCACAAGAAGGAGGAGAGAGCAGCAGGCGGCACGCAGTGGCACGCGGGTCAGGAGGCGTGAGGAGGGCATCCACACTCTGGGCGAGGGGTCCAGAGTGGGCATCAGAGCCCAAGAGGCACACAGAGGGCGTCCATAATGCGGGGGCCTCGAGCCCAAGCAGGGTAAGCAGAGTCCACATGGTGGTGACAGTCCGGTCTGGGGAGAATGTTACCGACTCTTGGAAAAGGAAGTTACAAATGTGAAAAGGAAAAAATGAATAGAATTAAACACTGAGCAAAAGATGGGAAGTAGAGTGAACTCAGGTTTTCAAGATATAGAGAGACAGAGACATATGGAGATGAAGACATGGACGCAAGTGCATGTCTATGCATGTGTATTACACACATTCCTTAGCTCTACGGGGGGTGGGGGGATGTTAACATGTTCCCACCAGCCAGATGTACACACGCCCTAATGTTAGGGCTACAGAGAGAGAACTCAGATGGGTCTCAATTCACTGATACAGAATAAGTAGGCCTAGACTAAACGCTGTTAAGGTCTAAAACCAAGACCTGAAAGAATCAAACTGTTTCCAAGTAATTCAACAACATTCTCAGACAAAGCTCAAGAATATTTCAGAAACACAAAAGAATCTATCACCCAACAAGGTAAAGTTCACATCTAGCATGTAATACAAAACTACCAGGCAAATGGCTGAGCATGGTGGCTCACACCTATAACTCAGCACTTTGGGAAGCCAGGGCAGAAGAATCACTTGAGGTCAGGAGTTTAAATCAAAAAGTCAGGGAGTGGAGGAGAGGATTGTGCCAGTCAATGCCCTTCTCTCTTCTTCCCCTTAAAAAAAAGTAAAAAGCAAAAACAGAACCAGACCACCATTCAAAGAAGCAGGGCAACATGACCCATAATAACAACAACCCCAACCACCCAGAAATGAATGAGTGGACAGGGACATAAAAATAGCTACTGTAAATATATTCCATATGTCCAAAATATTAAACACGGATATGAATAATTCAAAAAAGACCCAGATACAACCTCAAGAGAGGAAAACTACAATATGTGGAATGAAAAACACTCTGGGTGGATGCGATGGCAGATTAGACACGAGAACGAGCAGGTCTCTGTCAAAGTAATGCCAGAACTTGAGAGTCCTGGTAGAAAACACTGTCGAACTTGAACTCGACACAGTAAAAGTATCTTTAAAATGAGGTAAAATGTAGGTCTTCACGCTTACAAGAACTACAGGAATTCATCATGAGGGGGCACAATGACAAGAGATGACAGAGGAGGTCCTTCAGGCAGAAAGAACCTGACACCAGATGAGTATCACCAAGATACAGAGAGTATATTGGAGTACAGAGAGTATCTTGGAAACGAGGAGTATCACCAAGATACAGAGAGCGCTGACATTGAGGCTGTGTGAGTAATCACAGGCGTCTGTTCAGGGTATCACTTAAATACCCTTAAAAAATAACTGCTCACACAAAAACAGTGTCAATGTAGTGTGGGGGCTATAATATATGGATCCAAAAAATGGATGACAATAGCAGCACGAAATGGGGAAGAGAGAAATGGAAGATCCTACTGCAGGTCGTATCTGGACTTGAAGTGGCATGTCATCTGATGGTCAACTGTCAGTTAAAGGTGAACAGTAGAAGCCTAAAGCAACCATTATAAAAACACAGAATGAGGATGATAGCTGATCAGCCATCAAAGGAAATAAGATGGAATGAAATCCAAAGAAGCACAGAAAGGAAGAAACTAACACAGGACAGAGAGGGGACAGAGATCAGACTGAAACCTAACCATAGCAATAATCACATTAAGTGCAAATGGTCTAAACCCTCCAAGAGCAAAGATTGTCAGGCTATGCAAGAGGGCAGGAACCAATCATACACTGCTGTGGTCAGGAAATGCACTTTAAATACAAAGACAGCAACAGCTTAAAAGTAGAAGGATGGGGGAGAGGGAGAGAAAAAAAAAGTAGAAGGATGGAAAAAATATACCATGGTAACAATTAATCAAAAGAAATCTGAGTGCCTCCATTAATATCAAACAGATAGAGATTCCTTATGTGCTTTTAAGAAAGGAGATAAAATCTATGCTGTGTATTCATAAATATTCTGAGCACTAACATATAGACATATTTAGGTACAATCTAAAATTTGAGAAGTTAAGATAGCCTTTGACTGCATTTATATAATCTTATAAAGACACAAAACTCTGACATTGTCTGCTAATCATTAGGACAAAGGAAGTGAAAAATGGTTTTGAAATAAAAGGCAAAAGATCAACCCTGACATTTTAACTATAATGAAGGCATTTCTAAAACTATTTTTTGATACATCTTTAAATCAATGAACTCAAACGGCCTAAGCTTAGTGCTTCTAATTTTTGTATTTATCATGTGCTAACCATATCCAAAAAATCAGCTAAATTAAAAAAAAATCAAAGACTATTCTCCCTGTATAAATCATACAACATCAAGTCCTCAACTTAAAATAAATAACAACCTAAAATCATACAGGAAGGTGAAAACTGATGCCTAGGGCATACAGAAATGAATTCTAAGAAAATGTTATTTACCTAATATCTAATAACAGACTAAACATGAATTATGGAAATTACACGGCCCTAGTGACTTACCTCTCCAGATGAACATAATGTCGGGAAAGAACGTTTTTAACCAAAAACATGGTCTTTGCGTGAGTCTCCGGACCCATCAATTTGGAAAAATATAATTTTGCACGAAGAAAATACCCAATAGGCCACAGCCACTCCTTAAAAGATGAATTTAAAGCAAAGAAAAACAAAAAATAACAGTAAGTATCTAAAAGTATTTGAAAAATAATTGAAACTGAAACTCAGAGAAGAAAAATAAAATTCTTACAGGTCCTTGGTGATAATTGAAACCTTTAGCAAGATTATAGTTGTCATTGTCCAAGGCATTGTCATAAATTCCACAGTAAACCATATCACTGCAAAGTGATTGAAATTCAAGTTAAAAAAAGACATTACATAGTAAGCATTAGAAAAATTTCATTAGAAGAGAAATAATTACGTTATTTTTTCTTTTAATCTATAAAATAAGCTCAGCATTGATAAGTCATCCACTTAAACTTAAGTTTGTACAGACTGAGTTCAGAGAACTGTAATAATGTACTAAGAAATGATTAACAAATACTGGTCAATATAAAAAAATATAAAATATTCAGGCATCTTGCCTTCAAGGAGTTAGCCTGACACTAAATACTGGTTGATTTAAAGTCAACTATTGGGCAACCCCTTTGAATCCCCTCCCACTGTGGGAGCTTTTCTGTCCTCTCAATAAACCCTGCTTAAAAAAAAAAAAAATTAAACTATTTCACTAGACCTCTAATATAGGTATAGTAACTAAAGTCTATATAGGATAATTTGTATTAGTAAAAATTATAGATTGGAAAGGTTGTTTTCCATGAAGTTACTTTTAAGTTTAAAACTGGCATAATATTGTAAGATTACAAATAGTAACTGAATACACGTATTGCTTTAATATATGGAATTTCCAACATGCTTATAAGCTAAAGATATTATAAGCTTGTTGCAACAGATAATATGTGACAGTTATCTATAATTCATTTATTGTTGCTTTTCTTTCTTTCTTTTAGTGAGATACGCCTGGCCACATGAGTAAGCTTTAACTGTGGGTTTTAGTTTTGATCAGTTCATAACTCCTCTGAAAATGCTGTGACCACCTCAGAATATAGATAGGTCCACACATACACAAATTTGCATCTTGAGACTTAGCACATAGTAAAGCAGAAAAAAAAATTTATAAAGGTGGGGGCTCTGTCGTCTAGTGATACAGAAAGCAAGTCCATGATGATAGGCATATCAAGCTTTAAGAAAAAATAGTAAAAGGTCATTAGAAACTCAACAAAAATTTAAAAACAAAACAAAATAAAAAACTCCCAAAAGCTTACTCCCTTGAAAAGCAGGGGGGGGAAAATGAAACTAAATAAAAAACAAAAGTTGGAGCCACGTGTGGTGGCTCATGCCTGTAATTCTAGCACTTTGGGAGGCACTGGAGGTAAGAGGATTACCTGAGCCCAGAGGTTCGAGACCAGCCTGGGCAACCTGGTGAGACTTAGTCTCTACAATAAATAAAAAAAAATAGCAGAGCATGGTGGCATGCACTTGTAGTTTCAGCTATTTGGAAGGCTGAGGCAGAAGGATCGCCTGAGCCCAGCAGGTAGAGGCTGCAGTGGCCGTGAGTGTGCCCCTGTACTCCTGCCTACAGCTGTACTCCTGCCTGGGCGACAGAGTGAGACTCTGACTCATGTCAAAAAAAAAAAAAAAAGTTGGAAAAGGCAAGAAATAGAATATGGCATGAAGATAATCATAAGATAAAAGCAATATTATTTATTAACAATAAAAAAGTAATATAATAATACAGACAGAATGGAAATAATTGGTGGTAAAGTGAGAATAGAATGAAATCCTCATCTGACATCATGAGTAAGTAAGTAATGCCTAATTTTTCAAAACCATAAGACAGCTACATGCACATATTATTTAGAGATATGGAAAGAACCACAAGGAGAAACAACTTAAAAAAAGACTTCCTCTGAGGAGTAGAATCAGGGTAGGAAAAGGCAGCAAGAAACAGAAATCTTTTATATAAGTTCTTCTAGGTATATGCAAATATGGCCCAAACCTTAGAAAAATTTACTGGAAAAATGGGAGATGGACCAGATGGTAGGTAGTACTGCTATCTATGGATGAAGGGATTTTAAGAAATTTTACTATTTATATATTTTTTTCACTTTCCAGTATATACATAATCATGTATGACTTTTATATTCAGAAAAAACAGGCATTAGAAAATATTCATAACATACTTGTTTTATAAAATAAAACGGAAAGATAATTCATTATTAAATATAAGACAAGCCAAAGGTATTTTTTTTTTTGAGTTGGAGTCTCACTCTGTCGCCCAGACTGGAGTGCAGTGGCCGCTCCCGGCCACCGCAGCCTCGACCTGCTGGGCTCCGGCGATCCTTCCACCTCAGCATTCCAAGTAGCTGGAACTACAGGTGTGCGCTACCACGCCTGGCTAATTTTTTACTTTTATAGTAGAGATGAGGTCTTGCCAAGTTGCCCAGGCGGGTCTCAAACCCGCGGGCTCAGGCAATCCACTCACCTCTGCCTCCCAAGGCATGGGATTATAGGCTGAGTCACCGAGCCTGGCTGGCAAAGACATTTTAAAAAACTCTGTTTGAATGTAATTTTATGTTTGTTTTTATTTTTGTAGAGACAAGGTCTCTTGCCCAAGCTGGTCTCGAACTCCTGGGTTTGGGCAATCGTCTTGCCTTAGCCTCCCAAAGTGCTGGGATGACAGGTGTGAGTCACTGTGCCCAGCTGAATTAATTTTAGAGAAGTTATTGTTAAGTAAAAACATTATAGTTGATACAAATGTATTTGGATGAAATGTAGTAACAATATTCTTAAATCTTATATTCCAACTTACTCTGGATCTAAAGTTTTCATGCCAAGGGGACCAAGCAATTTTTTTTCTGCAATGTCCAAAGCTTTCCATGCCTTTTCTGCAGTAAAGAGCTCAGGGGCCTGAGAGTCAAAAACAAATACACAAACTTTTCAGATCACAGAAGAATTAGTCCCCGCTCACAGAAACTAGCCACATACTTGGAAAGAATAAAGAATATATATATATATTCTTTGACAGAGTGAGACTCCAACTCAAAAAAAAAAAAAAATTTTTTTTTTTTTT